CAGTAATAGAAATTGGGGTGTTGTCGATCACAGCTCAGCGGCGTGAGTCGTGCGTTGATCGATGTCTTCTTACACTCATTGTACTCGTCGGGTCAATAACACTGCATTTAAACTCTGTACACTCAGAAAAATAAATGAGTATTATTGTCTAAATATTGACACACTTTTTGCATGTATTCACTAATACGTCATTTTGCCGGGCAAAAACTGGGTCAGGATGGTCACCACGCACGAGTAAGAACTGCATCGCTATTTGGACCAAGTTTCTCATACATTTTTCTGAGTGTACAGTCGCTATTTTGTCACAACCAACGCCTCGCATTATCGTGCGTAAGAGAAGGCGCTAGAAAGAGAGAGTGAAAGCAGGCATGCAGGTTCCCTCCTAAAACATTTCGCAGTAATATGGGGCCTTTGTCTCAGTCGTCGATGAGAAAGTTGGTTAAATTATGTTGTAGTGTGAGCCCAAAGTTATATTGAATAAATCAAGGTTAATAATAGGTTAATTAAAACATAGGTTATTTAACAATAGGTTAACTAACAATGCTAAAGCAATAGGTTAATTAAGAAAATTAAAAAAAAACAATAGCTTAATTAACAATATTAAAACAATAGGTTACTAAACTAATTAAAGCAATATGTTAATTAACAAAATTAAACAATAGGTTAATTAACAAAATTAAAACAATAGGTTAATTGACAAAATTAAAATAATAGCTTAATAAACAAAATTAAATCAATAGGTTAATTAATACAATTAAAACAATAGGTTTATTGCAATGCTAATGAAAAACATCAGTAATCACTGAAATTTGAATAAAATAGTACGCGTAATCGCTATTTGAAGCATTTTTTTCAAAATTTCACTAATTTAAGATAACGCAACGAACTATCGAAATTAGTACGAACTAAAAACGTAGTTATTAACAAAATACGTAATCTTGCAACCTTATTTATTGCCATGTGGCAATTTTAACAGCAGGAAGCTTCTAAAAGATTACAACCAAAGTTTCCTTGTTTGCAGTGCTGTTAAAATCTCCCAAATAGCCCCATAAACGAAACGAGGGCCGTTTCTAAGATCAGTTTCGCAGTACTTAGAACTTTACATAAAACCTAGAATAAAATACCAGTAAGTGGTACTTAAAGTAACTGTGGGAACTTCTGAAGCTTTTACCACTTGAGCGATGGTGAGTTTTGAGCTGGCAATGAGAAATGAAGTAACTTTAATAGTAAAGAAAGTGCCTATTGAATTGTTGATTAATAAGCGATTTAAATAATCAAGTGCATGGTCATAATGAAAAGACATTGTATTATTAGCGACACGCAATTTGGCCTTTAGTGTGTCATCCTGACACAGTTTGGCTAAGCAAAAGGGTGTATCAGTGCTACGATGAAATAGTGCGTCGCTTTTTGGACAGTATTACAAACTTATTACTCTGAGTGCCTAACTTGCTGAGAACGCTATCACAGTGCACAGACTTTTTAGTTTCTTTCTTTGAACAATAAAAGCTTTCACGACATTCGCACCTATATGCATCATGCAGCTGAGCTTACATACATGTATTTTTACTCCATATATGTATACAAAAAATTGTCAATGAAACGAATTCTCTGGTCTTCAATGAAACCTACTTAAAGGAACAAATTTTGCCAGCATATACTAATATGTATATATATACGTATATACATACACATATACGCTTAATGACTGCTTCAATGGTGAATTCATCCAACAGTAAATAGCCAATATACAATTGCGATATCCATTAATACATTTTAAAATTTATACTTCTCACTATAAGAACACTGAAGTCGCACTGAAACCAATTGTTTGGTTTAATAGCGCTACTCAATTAAACTCAATTACGCTACTGACCGAAGTTATGAGATCGTTACGTGTGCAGCGTTCAAGTTTCCGTAGCTTGAGTTCGAACGCTCATTGTCCATGCACACTTAGGAATATCAATTGGGCTTATTGTACAAATAGTAGTAACACATTCTGCTCGTAGCACTGATACGTTCATTTGCAGGACCAAACTGAGTCAGGGTGACTCATAAAATAGCAAAAAGTACATAGCTATTCAGACAAAGTCTCATTCATATCTATGAGTGTAAGTTAAGCTACCATTTTGGACGTTAGCGCTGTAGATAAAAAATTTATTGATATTGCCATACAATCAAAAGCGTTATTATATTTTACTTAACTTATTTCGTAACGAATCAATTAACCGTTTTTATCCAAGCCGCAAGCTGTTCTATAAGTGCATTGATGATTGCGATGCGCGACGTGATAGCATGAGAAACGTGTTACGAAAGTTCTTACTCCGATTAATTTCGTTTGTTACAATTAGTTGATTAAATTAGAAGCGTTAAACTATCATACAGCGAAGTATATATGAAGTCTAATGTATGGGCAAAGGCAAGGTCATTAATAAAGTCTAGACTCATGAATAAAGTCTAGACCTGATAAATAAGATTCATCAGACAGAGAATAATGCCATAATCACACTATACTAAAATATTGATTTATGTTGGAATCATACTGTTGAAACAGGGAGAGAGCGCTGTCATAATCAACCTCCTCATAGGAGAATAAGTGTCATACACTCCTCATATATAGGAAAGAGTGATGTCATAATCAGCCTCTTCATAAGAGAATAAGTGTCATACACTCCTCATATATAGGAGAGAGTGATGTCATAATCAGCCTCCTCATAGGAGAATAAGTGTCATACACTCCTCATATATAGGAAAGAGTGATGTCATAATCATGCAGCCTCTTCATGAAAAAGAGAGGTGTCATAGACATAGAAAGAGTGGCGTTATGTTCAGCCTCCTCCTAGCAGATTGGTATTATAATCAGCCAATAAACACAATCAATATAGCTTGCGGCGTCGATGAATTCGTCATGCAGAGAGTGGCTGAATTTCTTAAGTTTCGTGCCTTTATTCAGACCGTTTCTATGAACCTACCACGATGAACAGCGTCGTTATTATCGTCGTTTCCCAGAACCTAGAGAAATGTTAACGGAAGCTCAATGGATGTTTTACAAAAGCGGACTATGTTATAATGTCACCACAGTCTCCCACACACATAATGAATGTTTTTCATTGTAAAAATCTCTCTATCTTAGGCTGTTTTACTACTGCATGATAGGCTAGTTTTGAGGACCAAAAACAGACTCATTCAAATGATCGGCTCCGCACTCAGAGGAATAAGTGAGGCATTGTCCAAATAGCGATGCATTTACTGTATTCGTGTGGGTTACCCTGACCCAGTTTAACAGGTTAAAAAAACCGCGTATCTGCGCTAAAACGTCCGCTCTCTGCTCATGCTGTGGGTGAGAAAGTGTGTCACTATTTGGGCGCAATGACCCATTATTTCTCTGAGTGTACAAAGGCATTACACGAGAGTCGTGGCAGAAAATGAGAGTGCATGGAGACGACATTTATAGTCTACATCGTCACCGGTAGCATTGATAGAAGGCATGCCAGTCACGACATAGCAACGAGGATTGATTGTTCTCAGATCGAAGAAAAAGTGGCTTTCTCTTCACACGACGCATCTCATCTTTATAGTGCAGACAAAAAGACATCTAAGTTGTCTTTTATCTTATCTAAGACATCTGAGTTGTCTAAAGACATCTAAGTTGTCTTTTTTCGGATGGAAATCACGCAGTTATGTCATGCGTTTCATTAGCAATATTAGTTAATGTTTATTAAGAGAAAACGATCGACCCGTTGCCGAAGACATCAATATTATAACATTGAGGCTAGACTGAACGAATACTTCAATGAATAATTAAAGCTTTGGTTAGTTGTTTGAAACTATCAGATTTTTCAATACATGGAATTTCTGCTTTAGAGAAAATGAATTATAATTTAATTTAAACAAATCCCCCCCCCCCAAATGTCAAAACTTGAACGGCTGCCACGAATTTTAATCTTCACGAGAGTATCGCAATTCCCTCGTATTGATTATTGTAATGCCGATGAATTTGAATGCCAAAATATTCCAATCCTAAACTGCTTAATCATAACCATGAAGCTGCTTGCTCTTCCTAGTGGCGCGTGTTTGGTGAGAACTACAAGAAACTGAATCTCAGCGCGCTGTTTGCGATAAGATAAGCTGAATCTCAGCGCGCTGTTTGCGATAAGATAAGCTGAATCTCAGCGCGCTGTTTGCGTTAATATAAGCTGAATTTAAGCGTGTAGCATATGGATAGGAAGCTGAATTTCAGCACGCATACCAAACTGAATTACAGCTTGCTGCTCGCGATAAGAAATGAATTTCAGCGCACGGCAACTGTTGAAGTATTCAGCATCGTTAGGAAGCGTATAATGCAGTAATGTATGTAAAACACGGTCACGTAATTTAAGTGATGCACGATGCGTTTGGTACAAAATGAAGTGGTTGCTTGGCACCAGTTTTTATTTTAAAAAATTTCAAAAATTTGATTTTTCAGTGAAAACACGGGACTGCACGGGAAGGTTAAGAAACGTGACAATAAATACGTTTGTCATTATTACATCGCGAGCTGAAATTGCAAGCAAAATTAAAATTTTCAAAAATATGCGGCTTCGCACGACTAACAAAATTTTAATTATAATTCATAATAAAGTATTGAAATAATAATTACGTCAAATCATTAAACTTGCTATGGACATCGAATGCATTGATAACGCAAAAGAATAACAAGTAATTATTAATCGTGAAGTGGTGGTAACATACCTTGAATGTTACAGACGTCGCTGTATTAGACGTAGTGAGTCGTAAGTAACGTGTCTTAATGTTACGCAAATTATAAAAGTATAATATTATATTACTGAACGTGGGATGAAATATTACCATCATATTAAATTAGTAATTACAACACAATATCACTTACCTGGTGTTGCGCGGCGGCGAACTACCCTATCAAGGCGGCGAGCATTATCATATTAAACTATCACAAATAATAATTAAATTAAACATTATAACTATTATAATATAACATCACTAACCTGAGGCTGAGCAGCGGCGGCGAACTGGCCTATCATGGCGGCGAGCGTACGAGCGCGCGGGGTGTAGAGCACCAGGCGCTCACTGGCGCTCAGCGCAGCGCTGTACACGAGCACGCAGAGCACGCCTGAGCGCGGGGCCTCCACCTCCTCTATGTCCTCTAGTCTGGGGAATGGAGGCCGCTGATGGCCAGCACATGGAGGCCGCTGATGGCCAGCATATGGAGGCCGCTGATGGCCAGCACATGGAGGCCACTGATGGCCAGTGACCCACTTTGATGTCATTGACTCACTTGTACTCGCTGACGACCGCTAGGGACGCTCCCTCCCTACGCGCCATGCGCAGCCCTGAGTGCGACACGGCCACCAGCTCGCCCTCAGGAGCGCGCCGGCTGCCCTGTGGAGGGGAATTTGATTTCATAATATGGTAATAAATGAGAAATAAAAATATTAAAATAAAAATATTTAGTAAATATTAATAAAAATAAAAATAATAAAAAAATATTTAATATTATGTGGGAACAAATGTATAATTAGTATTAGAAAATATTTTCACTTTAGTGCTAAATATATATATAGAATAATGTAATTTTGAATATATATTAGTACTAAATAACATTTTCATTATAGTACTAATATATATCTAGTATTATGTGCATTATTGCCAGCATTATAGTAGTTAGTTATTTTTTACAATTATGAATGTTTTCAATTAAAACTCGTTTATAACGAGTTAATGAACAGAATAATAAAAAAATTTAATCCGAGTTTTAATTAATCTCAAAAGAAAATATCAAGTTTATAAGAAGAAAACAAAATGAATAATAATTATGAATATAAAGAACTACAATCTTCTTGTGCACATTCGTGTTCAACCATTTCTTGGTCTAATAGTCACTAATGAAACTATGTGGGATTATTGCCTAGTCCATATGAATTTCTTTGTGGGATTATTGCCTAGTCCATATGAATTTCTTTGTGGGATTATTGATTAGTCCATATGAATTTCTTTGTGGGATTATTGATTAGTCCATATGAATTTCTTTGTGGGATTATTGCCTAGTCCATATGAATTTCTTAGTGGGATTATTG